GAAGCACCTTTTGACCTATGTGCAAACACTCACCTGTGTAGTAATTAAACTCCACCCTGTCCAGAGTCCCTGACCCTTTTGAAAAAATATCCACAAATAATTCATGGCATTCATTGAGGACCCTTTAAAGCTGTGTATATTCCTTGTTGGGGGCCTCTCTGCCTATGGAGTAGCCAATTTCCCTCTTTTCGGAGACTGCCTAAGGAACAGCTAGTTTTCTTTCTTTTGTATAATAAACCGTCATTCATTGTGGACAACGACCTCTATCTAATATGGAGAAGGATCCATGCTGGCCAGTGATAGGTTTCTGTATGTGGCTGGTCACTGGAAAAGCCACGCTATGCTTAGAAACATGAAACGTGTAGCCCCACCCCATCCTCTGAGCAGGTGAGAGAGCTGAAGCCTGAGTCAGTTACTCAGTGAAGCCTCCATTAAACCCAGAGCACAGGGGCTCTGAGAACGTCTGTGCCTGCCTTCTGTGTTCTTGTAACGGCCTTTATGACAAGTGGGTGAAGGTAAAGACAGTGTTCCCTCTAAGTCCTGTGAACCATTCTAGAAAACCATTCAAACCTGAGGCAAAGGTGGTGGGAACTCCCAGTTTATAGGTGGTGGCTCAGAACACAGATGACAACGTAGGACTTGGTGTTCTTTTTCCTCAACTTTTGAGTGATTGATTGATTTTTTGAGACAGGGTCTTGCTGTAGTTCAGGCTGGCCTTGAACTCACAGCACCTGGCGATTTGGGATTAGTGTGTGGCATCGCATATGACTTCAAATTTTTTTTTTTTTTTTTTTGCCCTTGTGAGACAGGGTCTTGCTATGTGGTTCAGGCTGGCCTTGGGCTCACTTTGTAGCCCAGGCTGGTCTCGAACTTGCAAGGATCCTCCCATTGCAGCCTCCAGAATGCTGAGATTACAGGAGTGTGCCACCACGCCTGGCGTGACTTCAATTTTTTATTAGTAAGTGTTTGCAATACACAATGATTACATTTCTCATAGGAAACTTGCTATTAACATCTGAAGCAGGGTAGTCTTTTGGGACTGAGCTTGGGCTCAGTTCTGCATGATTGAATCCAGGGGTGCTCTACCACTGAGTTGTATCCCCAACCCCACCCCCCCCTTTTTTTTTTTGATACAGGGTCTTCGTCAGTTGCCCAAAGCAGGGACTGCATTTATGATCTTGCTGTCTCAGCCTTCCCCTAGTGCAACACTGCAGCTGGCTAGAACTGAGCCTTTAACTAACGGGGTCTACGCTAACTGTAGTTATTGTCAGTGCTGAGTTAATTTACAGCACATCTTATCAGTATCCACTCAGGAGTTGACTGCTGTTGGAGAGAAATACCCATCCCCAATTCTATGTTGAGCAACAAATGATTTGTGACAGGAGGGAAATGTTTTGTTTTTTTCTGTCTCAGTCATATATTGTAGGATTGTATTTACACAAAATGTCCAAAATAGATACAACCGAGTGATTAAAAGCAAATTAGCTGTTACCAGGGGTAGGGTGAAGAAAAAAAAAGGGGGGGAACCACTGCACAATGGCTACATTCCACATTTACTCTGTGTGGGTGATGGTGGTGGTATTTTGTGGTGCTGGAGATGGAAACTAAGCCCTGGCACATACTAGACAAACAGACTACCACTGTGCTACATTCCCAGACACCAGTTACAGTTTAATATGTATCTTTTCACACTTTACAAAGTGTTATAAAGTCCAAAGAGATACTTACATTCTTTCTTTCCCAAGCTTTAGAGGAGGCATCAAGCATGCAAACGAATAGGAATTTCAGATCATGGTAAGTACAGTGAAGAAATGAAAGGGGGCAAGGAAATCGGGCATGATCAGGTTGGTAAAGGGCCAGGGTGGGGAGGGAAGCCTTCTTCCCTGGGAATAGGACAAGTGAGGTGAGTGATAGCAAAGCGCTAGAGGTAAAGATGTGGGAGCAGAGCAATCTAAGGAGAGGAAAAAGCTAAATGCCTTTAAAGAAACAGGATTTTACTAGATGTACTGATCCACTACATTTTCTACACCTAACAGACATGATCGTCCTCAGTATCTGCAGATTGGTTGCAGGAAGCCCTCATCCCCATGTCAAAATTGATAGATGTTCATGTCCTCTAAATAAAGTGGTGCAATTTTGTATAGAAACATATATATTCTCCCATATACTGAAATCATCTCTAGTTAATTGTAGTTAATGTGATGTAAATAGTAGACATACTCTATAGAGGAAATGACAAGAAAAAAACTGTGTTTAGTCGAAGTATAATTTTTTATGGTAGTGCAGATTAAGCCAAGGGCCTCACACATGCGAGGGAGGGGCTTTACCAACGAGCCCAGTGACACATTTTTTTTTGGTACTGGGGATCCAACTCATGACTGTACTTACCAGAGCTTACACCACTGAACTAAATCTCTTACCCTAGTAACACAATTTTTGTGAATTTTAAAATTTTATTTATGTACTTTTTGTGGTACTGAGGCCCAAACCCTCAGCCTTGCATACACTAGGTAAGTGCTCTATCACTGAGCTATACTCTCAGTCCTTTTAAAACTTACTATGTTGCAGCAAAGTATTGTGCAGTTTATTAAGAAGTACAAATACCAAGTTCTTGACTAGTTTAAAGTTATAATTAAGGGAGGAGGGAAAAGAATGAAAGGGGAAGAGGATGTAGTTTAGTGACAGAGCATATGGTTGGCATGAATTAGGCCCTGGGTTTAATCCCCAGCACACACACAAAAGTACAAGAGGGAGACTGTTAGAAATGCCAGATAGTAGGATCTGCATTGGAAGATAGGATTTATCTTTATGATGGGGTCTGAACCTTGAATCACACAGCATAGCTTGCCAAGTAAGGTTGCCATTAAGCTTTACCTGCACATACATTCCAGCAAATAGCAGTGCATCCTTGGAAAACGGTCTCTTTGAATTATCAGTCCTGTGTCTCAACAGCCTTAAGTGAGTATAAAGGGCAGTACCATCATGTTTAACATTTATCAAGTACCCTTTATATGTCTGGCATTATACTAGGCAGTGGAAACAGTGGAAAGATTAAGGGAAGACTCTGCTCACAAATTGCTCAGTCTTGATGCAACAGAAATTAACAGATTCCCTCACTTTCCTGCTGGTGCTTGGCCTGGCAAATCAAACTTGTGAAAAATAATAGAATGGATTTTTTTTTCATGAATATTCATAACTATCCTATTCATTCAAAGACAAGGAAATCATGATATCCATTGCTTTTTTTTTCTTTCTTTCTTTTTTTGAGTCAGAGTCTTACAACATAGTGCAGGCTGGCCTTGAACTTGCTTATGTAGCCTAGGTTGGCCTCAAACTCACAGCAATCCTCCAGCTTCAGCCTCCTGAGTGCTGGAATTACAAGTGTGCACCACCACACCCAGCTGGAGCTATGACTTTTATATCAATAAATTTTCTGTAAATCTGGGGACAATTGCCAGGCGTGGTGGCTTATGCCTGTAATCTCAGCACTCGGGAGGCTGAGGTGGGAGGATAATTGTGAGTTCGGGACCAAAGTGGGCTACAAAGTGAGCTCAAGGCCAGCCTGACTGCATAGGGAAACCCTGTCTCAAAAAAGACCAAAACAAAAAACAACAACAACAAAAAATCTGGGGACAATCACTCAAACCAACTTGAAAATAAATATTCTTAGGAAAGCATTCTAGCGTATCTCCAGGAAACTATATTCAGAACTTTGTATTGAAGCAGAGGCATATGTCATTTAACATGAAAAAAAACATTACAAAAACCCCAACAAAATAAAAACAATCTCCATGAGATTTCAGAGAGTATATATCTGATACTTAAAATAAGCCTTGTTATATTTACTTTTTTTTTTTTTTTTTTTTTGGTGTGGGGATAAAATTGAGGGTCTCACAAATGTTAAGGAAGTGCTTTACCACTAAGGTACAACCCAAGTCCCTAGTCTTATTGTAATGGAGGTGTGTGGTTTTTTTATATTTATAGTGTCAGTATTCATATTTTACATGTTTAAACGCATTTGTAAAATTTGGTTTAATATTAAACACAAATTCACACTCACCATTATAGAGTAGGATTTGTTTTAAAAGGAATGTGACAGCTTTGCTTTTGTCCTATTTCATTAGGGTGAGTTCTTTTCTCTTTACTACACAGGTGTTTAAAAATTAAAATTCAACCCAGGATGGGGATGGTGGCACTCCCCCTAATCCCAGCACTCAGTTGGGGCCAGCCTGAGCTACAGAGTGAGACCCTGCCTCAACCCCCCGCACCTCTTCGGTTAAAATTCAGATCTACATCTATATTTTTTATAAACAACTTAAGGTTAAGAAACACTTTCTGTATGTCTACACTCTTATACTGTAATTTCCAGGCAGGTGTGATGCAGTGTATGGATTCCTTTCAAAAGACTGTATCAACCATGTGCTTTTCCTTTTCCAAAACTTTTTTTGGAAAAAAAAAAAAAAAAAAAAAAACCCACCACCACCAACGTGCTTTTCTCTGAGTCATACAGTTTTTCTAAACGCAAACTATTTCTCTTCTATTTTTCCCAAGTTTACCTAACACAACCTGTGTGAGACGCAGTCATTAACGAAAATGGGAGTACGTGAACAAATTACTTCACCTAATTCCGCATAAGAAAGCAAGTCGGATGTACTAAAATGACGCTGTTAGGTGCTGGCTAGAAACATCGTGGACTGTGGCAAACCTCTGTTTAATCTGCAAGCCTCTTGGCAGAAAGGAGAAGGAATGGAAAAGTTTAGGTGAAGGCTTCTAATAACTAGTCAAACACTGTGAGTCACTGAAAGTTTCCAGTTAACAATCCCTTGTGCCTCGGCAGAACCTGGGCCCCAGGCCTTTTATGAGCCACACTGCAGTTTAAATTGTAGCATCTCATGGTTTTATTGTCTTGTCTCCAAATGATAAAACGAAAGACATAAAATGCAAGACGCTTTGCATCGGCTTAGAAATGTAGGGCAAAATCTAGCTGGGGGAGGGGAGGAAAGTGGGGAGCTAGAGAAGGCAGGGAGAGTTACGGCAGGACAGAGAAAGCAGGAAAGATGGTGAGAAGGCAAGGAACCATCAGGACAAGGCTCACCCCCACCCCCTTAGGTCTGCGGTGTGTTCTCCCTTGCCCGCTGCCTGAGCGAGTACTTCCTAAGGGTCCACGGTCCAGCCTGGAGTTTCATCAGGGCCAGTCCCCGCCCCCACCCGGTGACAGGTGGGGCGGCCAGGCAGCCACCAAACCTCCGCCTCTTCGCGGAGCCTGCTGGGAGGCAGACCCGCTTCCGGTTGCGCCCTGCCCCTGAACTCCGACTCCCGTCGGCCCCCGGGCGGGGGAGGGAACCGTGGCGGGGTCGCGCAGACGCTGCCGGAACTCGTAGTTCGGTCTTCTGCCGTGCTCTGTAGCCAGAAGTGGGCGCGGACAGGGTCGGAAACTACCAAGGCGAAGGTACTGGCGGTGGGGAGGGGGGTCAGTCTGCGCCGGGCGTGGGGTTGGTGGTGAGGTAGACGGCGGTGGTTGCGTTGGATGGGAGGAGATCCGCTCGCACACACGAGGAGGAGGAGGAGAAGGAGGAGGAGGAGGGTTGAGCTCCCGCTGCTGCTGCCACCGCCGCCTACTGTCGTCGCGAGTGCTGAGTTCGTACTGGAGCTGCTGCTGCGGCGACGCCGGAGGTTTTGTCGCTAGGCTCCGGCCCTTCCGTCTCGCCGCCTTCCCGGGTCAGCGCGGCCAGCTCCTCCCCGGCCGGACGCCCCCGCCTCCATTTCCCGCCCTCTCTTCACCACACACACGGCCCCCCCATCATGGATCCCGGCAGCGGCGGCGGCGGCGGCGGCGGGAGCAGCTGCGGGAGCAGTAGTAGCGACTCGGCGCCCGACTGCTGGGACCAGGCGGACATGGACGCTCCTGGGCCAGGTCCTTGCGGCGGCGGCGGCTCGGCGGTGGCGGCCGAGGCCCAGCGTGAGCACCTCAGCGCGGCCTTCAGCCGGCAACTCAACGTCAACGCCAAGCCCTTCGTGCCCAACGTCCACGCCGCCGAGTTCGTGCCGTCCTTCCTGCGCAGCTCGGCCCAGCCACCGCCACCCGCAGCTGGCGCCACGGGCGACGACAACCATGGAGCGGGCAGCGGCGCGGGAGGCCCCTCGGGTAAAGGGCTGGGGCGCGGGGCAGCTGGGGTCAGGACGCGCGGCCCTGAGGCCGGTCGCACGTGGGGCGCTGACAGCAGCGGTGCCAGCCGGTCTGGGTGGGGTGGCCCGAGCTTTGGGCGGGCCTTCAGGGGTGTTGGGTGTCGCTTTAGGATTCTGGCGGGGAGGGGGTGAGGTCCGCCCCCCAAGCGCCCTGGCAAGTGGGAACCAAATGGGACAGAGAGGGGCTCAGGCAAGTCAGTGCCACGAGGCCCAGGGACGACACACGGACCTAAGAGTCAGTCGTAATTGGGTGGCCGTTGAGAGTCGAGGGGTAGGGGAGAACGAGTGCTTGAGTGGTCCCTTAGTTCTAGGTCTAGCCAGAGAGCTTCTCCAGTTGAAATTTCTACTGTTAAAAGTGTAATTACATTTCAAATGTCTGTGACTCCGTACCGTCCTGAAAGAATCCCAGGATGCATTGCAGTCTTGTGATCGGCCAGAAACTGTTGGCTATATACAAAGATATTTTTTACCCTTGGCATATTGTATGCTTATAAAGTTCAAAAAGTTAAAAAATATTAATGTGTGGTAGGAAACTATGTTGATTCGTGTGCCATTTTTCTTGACAGAGTTTTCTCCTTTGTTAATTACACGTTTAGAATTTTCATCGTTTTGCTTATTCAGGTGGTTTGGTATAAAATTCACTTTGTTTTCAAGTGTAATTTACCTAAGTCTATATTTTGAGACACTTGAGCATTTCTAATAACTATGTAGTTGTCACATGGCTTTCTAACCATAGCAAGGAGACATACTTTCTGTGATTTTGAGTTAAGTTCAGTCTTTAAAGAATCATCTGAGACTGCTTAAATGGTAGGTAGAATGCTTTCAGGTGCTGATGTGGGAACGTCAAAGGAGTGAACTTAAGTATTCTCTCCATTAATGCTCTTTATCTAGGGAATGATCGGTATTGTCTTAAAAATAAAAAGGAAGGAAAGGCTGAATATCCTTTAGTGAGTGTGCTCTTGGAGTTGAGTTCTTCAGAAACTTGCTAGGAGTTTGTTTTTCGAAGATATAAAGGATAGGGTTTGGAGAAATACTTTTATGAGGAATGTATAGGAACAGTTTGTGTTTTATTGACTTTAGTATTTTATTTGTGTGGGTGGTTTTCTTTTTGAACTATGAAGCTTAGCTTTTATTTCTTTGGTTACATCAAACCATTTCAGCAACCTAAACTAGTTTACTTACCAGTTCCTAAAAGTGCTTGTTTTTGTATCTTGTCTTGTAGATTTCATTCTTCCAGGCCTTTCTTGTCTTTCTTGGTCAAGTCTCCCCCACCCCCTCCTGAAGCCACCACCATCAGTGTGACTGTGGACTTGGGGCTTTGTTTACAGCGTATCTGCCCATCCGCCAAGTCATCAAGGGCTATTTGCTTAGAGAGCAATGGTTTGGAATGGACACTGTTGACTAGTTGTCACTTCTGATACAGTAATTTTTTTCTCTTACTGATGTTTGCTAACTTGTAGTTTGCTTTTGTCTGACAGTGCTATAAGTTGGAGATACATAAAAAGTTGTAGGCAGAGGGTTTGGCATTGCATGCTTGTAATCCCAGAACTGTGGGAGGCTGAGGCAGGAGGATCACAAGTTTGAGCCCAGCTTGGGTAGCTCTGTAACTTAGACACTGTCTTACAAGAACAAGAGTTATGAATATAGCTCAATGTGAAGACTTTGTTGTACAAGCTCCCACTAGTGCAAAGGAAAAACAAATCGTGTGTAGAACGTCTTATTTGGAAAGGAATACATTTTCTGCACTGAAGTGCAGTTAGATGGTACTGTTGGATTGTGTGTTCCAGACAGTTTGGGTCCATTTAGTGCCATCATCAGTGAACTATACTGTACTTAGAAAAAGCAGGGAAAAAATTGGAAATAGCTCTAGACTGAAACTGACAAAGGAGGAACCAAAAAGTTTGCAACTTTTTGTAGTAGGGAAATGGACACTGGGGTTGTAGCTTTTTTTGTTAAGCCATAGTTGAAATGTGTTTTCAAACTAGATACCAGAAAAAGTATTGAAGGAGCCTATAGATCAGAGCTCTCAGATAACTTTTAAAAATGTATCTTTTGAGTATGAATCTGTCATTTCTTTGAAACCAGTTTGTCTTCTCTTTTTTTGAAATACAGTGCTGCCCAGAGCCATCAATAGAGCAAGAAGCTTTTGTATGGTGTCACTCACCTTGACTGGAAGGCTGCTGGTTATACTTTTGTTCAGCTATCCCAAGTCAAAAGTTGGAGATCTCTTTGCAAACTAAGAACAGAGGTTTCCAAAGAAACATTTACATAGAATCCATTTGGATGTATTAAGTATAAATCATTTAAGTGCAGTTCTCTACAGAACCAAGTAAATTGGCCAAATGATTGTTATTGAAATAGGAGACCCAAAATGAAGGAAAATGTTGCAGACAAAGCTTAATGTATGCTAGAACAAACATTTTCTGATAGAATAAGTTTAAATTTGTACTTAGTCCAACCTTTTTAATTAGATTAACAAGAAATGGCTTTAGGTAATGAGGATTACTTGTAGTTTTGTGTATTTGTTTCCAAGGTGCCAGCTGTAAAAGAGTTCCTGTTCCTTGCACTGTTCCACTCTCTATGCCTCTCAGAACCCTGCTGTTTAAAAAAAAAACTGATGTTAAAGGTCCATAGAATAAAACCATCAGTCTTCACTACTTCTTGGAGGAAGAATTGTGTCTAAGATGTAGCAAATTGTATTGTGGAATTTGAATCTTAGAAGGGTTGTTTTTTGTAGTGTTTGTTTTTTGCTGATTTTGGGGGGGGTGAAGGAGGGACTTTATTTTAAAAGAGATATAATGCACATATTGTATGTTTCAAGGTCATGTAACCATTCTCACTTTGGATGCTTTTGAATCACTAGGTATTCTCAAAAGCAGTCTCTTCATGCCAGGGATTTAGCTCAATGACATAAGCACCTGCCTGGCAAGTGCAAGGTTATGAGTTTGATGCCCAGTACCAAAAAAATAAAAGTAATCGCTTCAGGACCTCTTTATTATAAAGGATCTAAAATATCAAAGTAATGGTTGCTTTGTCCAGAATGGCTCTTACGATACTTCATTATAGTAAAGGACCTGTTGATTTCTACATGATAGATAGATAAGGTTCTTGATTTGTTTTTAAGACTGAAATGTCTGCACTAAGTAGTTCTAATATACACATGATCTTAAATGTCACTGGGATACTGAATGGAATTAAGAGCATTAAGCAGATCAGTGATCAGTATTATTCCTGGATTGTCACACTTTTTTTCTTTTGTCTTTTTGAGACAGAGTCTCGCTACATAGTTCAGGCTGGCCTTCAACTCACAACTCACTTTTTTGTTTTTTGTTTTTTGTTTTGGTACCCGGAATTAAACTCATGACTTCATGCTTGCTCAGCCCTTCAACTCACTTTGTAACCCAGGCTGGCTTCAAAACTCACCGCAGTCCCCCTGCCTCTACCTCCCAAAGTGCTGTGCCACCAAGCCCGGCTAGTGATAAGTATTTTAATACCCTTAGTTATTTCTTTCCTGTCTTGACTTACTGCTTATTAGATTTTAGCTCTTGGTTTCATGTGTATGAATGGCTGGAGTATAAGGATTTAGGGGACATGATGACAGTAAATTACTGTTGTGGTGCTGTTAAGAAATTTTGATTGGCCATAAAGTCTTTGGACCAGGTTGTATTTAGCATTGTTAGTACATACAGTGTTGCATTATTTTGTTCTCACCTTTTCCAAAATTGCTGTATAGAACGAGCAATTAAATTTCATCAGGTCAATTTAGGGAAATAATAAATTTTAAGCTTTGATTGACTTGTTTGTGTTTGCTGTGAGGAATATCTTAAAAGTGTTCAAATAGAATTGTCTAAAGAGAAAGGAATAAAGAACATAACCTTTTGGAGTAAGTTAGTATTAGAATGGAATTTCGGAGGTGGAATTTTTCAGACTCTTTTTTTTTTTTTTGTCTTTTTCCTTTTTTTATCGGTATCAGGGATTGAACCCACAACTGCCTGCTTGCAAGGCAGGCGCTTATGCCGCTGAGCTAAATTCCCTGGAGCTGGAATTTTTCACTCAGTATACATATATACATTTAGCAATTAATGATTTATCTACTGACTGTTGGATGCTGACGGAGGCATTTGTAATGATGTCAAGATGACTAAGTTGTGGTCCTTCAGGAATGTGGAAAAAGGATCAAATAACTGGTTAAAACTACTTGAAAAACTGTATTAAGAAGGCCATACAAAGAGTGTAGGTAACTGTCAAAGTTGAGCTAAATTGCTCAGGATTCAAGATCCTCATGTAAATCACTTCAGTCTCGTCATTTTAATACTAAAACTAAAGATACATGTATTTTATGCTAAGTGTTTTTCTGGAATATATTGTTTTCTGTTTGTTGTTGTTGTACCAGAATTGAACTTAGGACCTCACAGTTGCCTTAAGCAAGAGCTGTGCTGCTGAGCTATTTCCCCAGCTACTGCTTGTTTTTGAGATCTAATTGACATAAAATTTTCCCCCCTTGTGTTTATATGGTTTGTGTTTTTGTTTTCATTTGTAGTACTGAGAATCAAACCCAGAAGCACTTTAGCACTGAACTACATCCTCAGGCCTTTTTACTTTTTGAGAGAGCATCTTTCTGAGTTACCGAGGCTGGCCTCAAAACTTGTGATCCTCCTTCTGCCTCAGTCTCCCAGGTAGCTAGGATTATAAGAGTCCATCACCACATCTTGTTCATTTGTTTTTATTTAAGTTTGCTGAGAATTTGCTGAAGTTGAGGCCAAGTTATCTTTTTATACTATTTACCTGTTGTCTTTTATACCACAGTTACTGTGATTCTGGCTAGTGTATCTATTAGGCATATTTGTTTAGAATTCCATCATTCTGCTCTTAATTAGTAAAAATCTGAGAATCCAATATTTAGTCATTATTGAAGATTTTTTATTTTGAGGTTCTCAGACTATTTAGTCATCAACCATT